TACTTGTGAGCAACGGCACATTTAAATCTTACAAATATAGTTATTTGGCTTATATCGTGATAGATATCGTTATCGCCTGAAATGAAAAAAACATATCGTGATATGAAAAAATCTCATATCGCCCAGCTCTAACGCATAGTATCAAACAAGCACCCCCCCAGGTTTGCCTTGTTCCTCCTGACCTTTATTCCACACTTCTGTGGAATACATATTGACAGTTCTCATAAAAGCTAGCATGTAAGCATATTCACACTTGGAAATGGCATTAATCTGTTTATTGCCTTTCATGAAATAACCAGTACAGACTCCACTCTTGGCTATAACATTATTATTCAGGAAGGGAGGTACTTCCTAAAAATAAAAATTGCTCCAATTCCTAACAACACAATATTTATGCAAAGCCAAGTGGAATCGCATATCTGCTTCTGTGCTTTTCTGTGTTTTCTCACATGCCTGAGAAAACTGTCCTTGTCCACATAATTATGAACCTGGCTCCAGATTTGGTGCCACTGACCTGGAGGAGGTGTGGTCTACATCCAGGAGCGGCTGGTTAAGGTTTGACAAGTCCAGGTTGTACTTTGTTTTGTAGTACTCAGCGAAAGTCTCATACTCTGGCGAAGGAAACTTGCTGAGTGGTGTCAGGTCTGCGTACACATCAGCGACATAGAAGCGATGAGGCTGGTCGAAGTTGCGATACCTGGAAAGTAGCAGCGAGGCGATTATCACGTTGTTTGGCTCAGCGTATACTTCATACAGCTGACACATTCACACAAAATCAATCCAGTACAGACACGTGCCGCTCCACTACCTTGGAATGATGACAGCATCCTGGTAGTCCTCCAGCTTAAAGGTGAAGGGGTTCTGCTTTGTGTACTGAGTAGTAGGAATGCCAGTGCGGGCCTCAGACTTCTCAATGTCTTCCATAAACTTAAAATCCATATCTAGTGTGTTGGAGTCTCCAACTGAAGAAGCCAAAGGAGAGAAGGAAAGATGGTTAACGAACATTTTAACACAGGTGGAAATGAATTTACAAACTGAACCGAGCACTCACCAACATTCAGAGGTAGAACACAGTAAGCAGAGTCAGCCATTGTGGGCATGAACTCCAGTGCAGGTTTCTCCAGGCGGAGAATATGGGAGAAAATGTACTGGTGGAGACGAGTGATGAGGTCGAGCTGGGCAGTGGTGAGCGTGAAGCCAGACTTCTGCAACTCGATGGAGATGGTCACCTCACCAGAGCGAGTGTACACCGGGAAATGGGGAATCTGGATCAAAGCAAAGCTGCTCGTTTTCACATGTATAACACGTCTACAGAATAAATGCTGAAGAATATTGTGAAGCACTGAGGTACTCAAATGTGCCGAAGCAACGTACTCGAGGTATGGGTTTGGCAGTCAGTATGCCGAAGCACCTGGTGGTGTCCTCTGGCGGGTAGAGCTTTCTTCTACGGAAATTGAGCTCATCAGGGAGGGGAGTGGTGAGCACCATCCCAATCACATACAGGTAGTAGCTCTGCTCCGGTACTGCATAACAGTCACACAGACACTCCGGTATCTGGAGATGGCAGAAACGGGACACAAGATTTTTGCACAGTACTGTATGCTCATTGAGTCAGCCCTCATGTTTCTCTATCCGGGTTTGCCTTTACTGCACTGGCAGTGCGTTTGGGATGAAAACTCATTCAACATTAACCAGTAACATGTTTTCCATATGGTAGTGCACCGCGGATCAAAATATGACTGTACTTTTCTTGCATTCGTAATTCCTTCAATCATAATTCCAACCACACTGGATGAAGTGCACCGTTCAGATACCGTTCACCTGCTGATTATTTTTTCTAGGCCTGCTACTTGTGTTGACCTCCGCTTGTCCAGTTTCCTTCCTTTTTTAAAGGTCACCATGTCATATTTTGGCAAGTTTACAGTTTGCTAAACTAAAGCAAATAGTGTGCTTTAGCAACAGGCTGCTAGTAAAGCATTTAAAGATACAATGTAAAAATGAGTCTTTGCTAATGTAAAAGTCAGTGTTAAATGGCTTAACTTGGCTCTGAAAATGTCAGGCACTGAAACTGGACTGATAAGTACGAAAGCAGCCAGCAATTAAGGTCTTTCACAGTTTTTCTTTAAAGAAGTCTGGAGTACTACTATATGCCAACACATTTACTTACTGGTGCGATATAGCAAGGTTCTGCCAATCCAGAGAGTCAGTGATGAGTTTGGATACAGCCAGTTGACCCCCCCCCATCCATCCCCCCATATCACCTCAGATTTTTGCAGCTGAATTACTTCAAAAACAGTCTGTAAACTGGTTCAGCCGTGCCCTCCCTGCATCAAATGCCTGCCTGTAATGAGCATGACGTACAGCTTTGGGGTAGCACTGCCTTCTCTTCGTAGAACCAGGCCGGCCTGGGACACTGGTCTCCTCCTCATCGTGAAGATCAAGCTCCTCCTCGTATTTTACCGTCTCCTTTCCCACGGGCATCAGGTGATCATCCAGTTCACCTTAGAAGGAAGAGGCAAAAGATGAAGCAATGAAGACAAAAATATCAAGATTAGTCTGCAAGATTGTTATTGTGGTTTTACCTATTTTGTGGAGTTTCTCACAGCATACTAGTGCAACTGCCTTCTCTGCCACTCTTGCACAATTCATCACTGGACCCTGTAGGTGCAAGTCAAAATATCAATCATCCTTTAGAAATATAAAAGGAGCACGTCAAAATGTTTACACTGGCAATTTTGAAAACTATAACAGCCTTCCTTACCTTGACAGGAACTCGCAGAGGGGAGTTTATAGGCAAGTAGAGAGTGGACTGGAAACATCCATCTCCCATCTCCATGGTTTTACATTTTGGTGCTAGGTGTGTGAATGGGTCGCTGGGCAGCCGAGCACAATACCTGAACACCAGGGCAGAAAGACCTTTTCAAATAATTATGGCAATATTTTTGATAGATACAGAGCTCTGCTGGTTCTTTCTCACATCTCAAAGTGCTTTACTGTTTTTTGCCACTTGTACCCAGGAATCATGAATGAAACACACACACACACCTCGAGGAAACTCACACTGGCACAGAGACAACATGCAAACACTTCATCTCTTTATTACAAACTTAGTGCTGATGCGATGGCGACTGGACTGTGTGTCTGACACTTTCACCGGATTGGGAACCCTGTACTGTCTTCAGCTATACTGACATGTAAAATGATGAGTGAGAGAAAAAGAAGCAGCAGTATCATGTATATGTTGGCTCCATGCAAGCAGAAACCGTGGGCAGCAGTTCACATGGATTTAAAGTGACAAACAAAAAGAGGCTGTTTGGAGCAACCGGCAGTCTCGATCAATAACAAAGTATTTGAGCTGGAAAGAAAAACATTCTGAAAATCAGAAAGCACACCTGTTAATGTGACCGATGGCTGTGTTGATGGTGACTCGAGGACCTCCATCCTCAGACCGCAGGACATAGGGTGGTAGAATGTTGTCATCATCCATCACCTGTTCCACTTCAAACTCACTCACCTCCACTGACTTGGAGCACTTATTCCTTAAGATCTGTTTGAGAGAAAATTAGGTCATTTGGCCCCTAAGCCAACAGACTAAGCATCTCAGTCTTGTCAGATCAAGAGAAAACATTACTTTTTCTATGGCCTTGTAGGTACTGAGATCTTCTTCAAAGGCTTTGGTCCTCCCAGTGTCAGCCAGCATGATGTAGTTGGAGACAGGTGCCCGAGCTCGGCCTTTGGACTGGACGTAGGACCTGTACTCTGTAGGCAAGTCAAACCGCACCACCAAGTTACACTTTGGAATATCTACGCCTTCCTCGACGATGCTGGTGGCAATCAGAAGGTTAGTTTCATGAGCCCGGAATTTGCGAAGAACCTGTCAGAGAAGGAAAAGGGGTCCTGAGTTCAGGAAGTGATAACAACAAAACAACCAAGAATTTAGCACGGTATCCACACATCTCTCCATCGTTCATTTTCAAAATCCAAGTTTTCTTTTATATTCAGCACAATTTCTTCCTGTAGTTATCTTATCAGATTCAGTGGCAGCGTCTGAACCCGGTGACCAGGTGCACAACATTTGCGAAAAGCACCTGACCGAGAAAAGTCTAGAAAGAGAAAGTGTTGTTGCCATGGTGCTCACTGTGCACACAACCACAAGTGCTAGCTCACAGGATTAGAGAAAACCATTAAATAACTCCAAACACATTTTTAAGACCTGTTCCAAGGTCCTCACAGGTCAGTGGGGTCAGAATGACTCTTTAGAAATAGTTACACTTGACTTTTCACAGAGTGCCACACCACTCAGAAGCTAATATGGAGAGAGTGTGATGGCTGACATCCCCAAGTTATCTCTCACTTACCTCCTCTTGCTTCCTGAACTCCACCTCCATTTGTTTGTTGCGTGCCTGGTTCTTGCCAATGCTGTGGCCAGTGATGAAGTTGCTACTTATATAAGCAAGCTCTGGGTCCTGCTTCCCTGCCTCCTTGATAAGACTGGAGAACAGAAAGAGTGTCAGTGATAACTCACCAAGGACAAAAACATGCAGCCAGTCAAACAACAGACGCCATCTTTCCAAACTTTTATGATTTATCACCAACTACCTGCTGCACTGACGATTTAGAGGGCGCGTTCATTCTCACCACATGCCTCTATCACTCAGCCACCAAAGTAAGAACAGAAAGGGTATTTTGGTACCTTAAGATGTAAACTCAATGGCTCTAAACACCGGGGATTTTTTTAAAATCCCAAAGCTACGATCATTAAGCTAGCCAGTGTATCTTATTTTGCCTCACTGTTACTGCTTTAAAAATACTTCTTTTTTTTTTTTTAAACACCTCGAAAAATTGTAAAAACGCAGACGAATTTTATATGATATCATCCATTTATGTCCACTAATTACAGACTATGACAGGCAGATTAACCACGAGTCAGTGCTCTCTCCTGCTGGTATTACTCCAGTTTCCTTCTGATGTCTGCAGCACTGACTGACTGACACACACGAAATAACACCAGTCTCTGAGCTGAAGCTATTATTCCTTGAAGTCCTTACCGATTGAGGACAACAGCTGTATAACGCCTCTCCACAAAGATGATTCCACACAGGATATTTGTGAATGGAGAGGGAAAGTTAGCTTCAGGCCTCTCTTTGGCTTCCACCTCTTCATCCTCATCTTCATCCTCAGAGTCGCTCCAGGACACATAGTTGTCCTGGTTGCGGTTGTTGTACCACTCCACACTTTCAAACTGCTGCCGCTCAAACGGCTTGTATTCGTGCAGGATCTCAAGCAGCCGTAGGACCTTTGGCGTGACAAACTTGAGGTCCAGGCAGGCGGGGGAGAAATGCTCCTCACAGAGAGCGTGCACTTTGCGCAGAATAGTGTCCGTGAAGAGTAGAAATTTGCGGCTGAGTTCCTCCTGCTCGTGTTTGATGTACTTCTGTAGCTCGCGCACCATGATGCCTGCTGCCTTATCCGCACACCAGGGCCCCAGCACCTGCAGTACGGCCCGGCAGTCATTGAGGACCTGGACGGGAAGGGCACAGTATAAACAACAAGTTCACAGAGTAGGCTGTTCTACAGCTCACCTTTCTACTTGTAATTTTAGAATCTTCTCTAAGGACATTTTTCCATCATCATGGCTGGATAGCCACCAGTAAAAATCTCCCAAATAAGCATGGCAAATTACAAAATCTTCTCAGGTATACCCAGTATACCACATTATGACTGTTTCAGCAACCTCCCTTATATTGATACTAAAATTATTATTCCTTATCCAGGGATGATGACCATTATTCTCTCACTGATGAATTCAAAAATACTGGCAGTTGTACCCTTCAGCCTTCTAGTATGGTATCAATTTTGGCATGGTGACGACAATACCACAACATTTTATGGCTGAAAGGTAAAAAGTGCGGCGAAGAATCCACTAATGGTGCTGAAATCATAATAGCTGCTGACTGCATCGGCCCGATGAGTAGTTACATTTCTCGGGAGGCGCACGTCCACTTATGTCTTAGATTTAGTGCTGAAGCATAATTCAGGCATTACATCGATGGTTAACGCTCAGGGATCAGAAAATGCATAAAGCAACAGCCTGATGAGTCCAACACATGGGTGTACAGTAAGGTTGGGCATGGACGTATATATCGACTATCGCCGACAGGCTCAGGCTTTCACCCATCGTTTTTACAAGAGCAATTTATTTATTTATTTGCCCATGAGCAAGTTTTCTAATAATGTTGGTTGAAGCTAAGAGAAGCAGTCAACGAAAAAAATAATGACACTATTTTAACAGCATCCTCTTCTAGCTGCAAACAAATGCAGCAATTCATTTACTCAAACTCATAACAGTAAAAAAAGAAAGGCAGTAGCCTACGTTCAGAAAAAAATCAAAAACATTTTATTTAAATTAAGAAAAAACCCACAATGGTGGGGAGGGAAACAAAGAGAAACTGCCTTCTTTTTTCCACTATAACCGTGTTTACAGGCCGTTCCAGTGTTTGTCTGACTTACACACTCGACCAAACAACAAATACAAAATTAAACCAAAAGTAAGTAAAAAAAAAAAAAAAAAAAGTTTAAAAAAAAAAAACGCCAACGTAATGTACAGTCTTCTGTGCAAGTTGGCGCATCTCAATTAAATAAATAAATGAATATTCCAAAAACTATATTAATCCTGAAAGAAAGAAGAAAAGGTAAAATATTCCCTGCAAACAAAACAAATTCTGAATGCGCAAATCAGTCTGTGCACGATTACATTGGTCACCCATCAAAAACTGAACTGCGTGACTATCGCCGGTTATTGGACTGATGGTTGTTGGTTGGAAAATTTTGACATATTGCCCAACCTTCGTGTACAAATATACAAAACCTGCAAAAACGATGCTGGTCTTTTCTGCGGTTAGTGAGAGGCACAGAAACCACCTCCAGAGTATGATGAAGTAAATAACCGTAGGATAAATAAAACTGAGATGAAGAAACACTAAATTTTAAAAAGGCAGAAAACCTTTGGAACTCTGACCTGTTTGGAGATGAATGTGGGATCACGGTCCTCCTTGACCACAGATATGTTGCAGTCATTCAGGAAGTGAAGAGCTTCATTGAGTTCAGCCTGCAAACGGGAGGAGAGGCCACTCTTGTCCACGTAGGAACCGCAGTCCAACACCACTTCTCTTGGCTGAGAGGCGTATCTAAAACATGACCCTGTATTGTGAGCATTTCACTGCCACCATTACTGGTTTTCAGTCTAGTTTCACATGTGTCACATACAATGGTGTGAAAAAGTGTTTGCCCTCTTCCTGATTTCCTATATTTTGGTACGTTTGTCACATTTAAATGTTTCACATCATCAAACAATTTTAAATATTAAAACAAACACAAGTAAACACAAAATTTAGTTTCTAAATTAAGCTGTTTACCATTAAAGGAGAAAAAAAATCCAAACTTACATGGCCCTGTGTGAAAAACTGAATGCCCCCTAAACCTAATAACTGGTTGGGCCACCGTTAGGAGCAACAAATGCAATCAAGCATTTGCCATTGGAGGAATTTTGACCCACTCATGTTTGCAGAATTGTTGTAATTTAGCCATATTGGAGGGTTTTTGAGCATGAACCACTTTTTTAAGGCAATGCGTCCCAAACGGATTCATGTCAAGACTTTGACCTGGCCACTCCAAAGTCTACATTTTGTTCTTCTTAAGCCATTCGGAGGTGGACTTGCTGGAGTGCTTTGGATCATTGTCCTGCTGCAGAATCCAAGTGCTTGAGGTCACAAACAGATGATTGGACATTCTCCTTCAAGGTGTTTTGGTAGACAGCAGGTTCCACTTACCAAGTCTTCCAAGTCGTGAGGCAGCAAAACACCCGTTCCTATTTAGCGCTTTTCTACTCTGAGCACACGTGTACATTCACACCAGCAGTTTTTTCTGTGCTGTTCCTAACTGCTTTCTGTCCAAGTGGTTTTTAAGCAGCTCACTGAGCATTTGTCAACAAGCAATCTGTATGAACTATTTCAGTCTGCTTTTAGACCAAATCACTCCACAGAAACAGCTTTAGTCAAAGTGGTAAATGATCTGCTGGTAAATGCAGACAATGATCGCACTTCAGTTTTATTACTGCTGGATCCAAGTGCTGCGTTTGACACTGTGGATCACTGCATGTTATTGGATAGGCTTGAACATTTTATTG